TATATTTGATGATGGCCTATTGATTATTGATGATTGATGATTTATTGAACAGAACATTTGTTGAACATTTTTGTTGGCCCATCCTTTTGGCATATCCCTATACTCTTATTAAAATGTTGAAATTCAAGAACCTTGCTAGTTGATTTTTCAGATTTGTATTTGATTAAATATCCTTCTTTAAAATTTTCTTCTTGTGATTTCTTATCTTCTTTATTTTTTTCTCTATTCTGACTTTTTTATACCTTGTTTAGTATTTAATTTTGTTTGCATATGTATGCATATTTGTTTCTTTTTGCACAACTGTTCTTTTGATTTCTTTGTATATACATGCTGTAGTAATATAAATGAGATTTACTACTACTTTTAAGCTATATGACAAGCAAAATTTAGAGTTCAAATTCTAGAAAATGGTAAATTTTAAATTCTGGAGATATGGACTGCCTTCCATTATATTTATACGAACAATAATTTTGTTCAAATATTACAAGTGGCGTTTCAAATTTGCAACAAATAGCTCTGATAGTTTAGTAATAATTTCATTTGATATTTATATTTATATTTTCTTTAATTTTATCTAAGTAAATTAATAAACAAATTAATATATTAATAACTAACTAATTAAGTCTTTAAAATGCCAACACACATTCAGATCAATTGAATTTTATGAATTTTAAGACCCATATATATATATATTGAGAATACAAACAAAGCAACTAAATAAAACAGTATAATCAAAGAAGCTTAGACTCAAAATTATTAATATATGAGGAGTCAAAATGGAGTTGACTAAAAATGGTAATATTCTCTTATCATTCACCACACTAGAAAACTGATGTTCTATTGACTAGCATTCTTTTTATTTTATTACTCAAGCCTATTTGTTTTTTGGGGTGAATTACTCAAACTCTAGCTGTACGTACAACTTCTCTTAAAGGCGCAGATCAATGGGGCAGGAGGGCTTGGTATATGTTATGGGCTTCATCATTTTGGGCCATACGAAATTATTCTTTCGGCCCACTCTGTCACGCCTTCTGTTACTGAGGATAAACACAGTGTGGTTATAATACCGTTTGGGGATATTAAATAGGAGTTCAGATCTAACAGAAAGGGCTAATCTCTTGTAATATTACAAATTATGATTTGAATCCCCACTAGAAGAGGTGGTAGTTCAATTTTGTACCTTAGCTCATACTTGCCTCTCTATATTAAAAAAAAAAAAGCATATTAAATAGAAACGAAATACTCTTCTGATCCTATTTATAAGTCACTTCCAGCATGTTTCAAATAGACCAAGAAAAACCTTAAATTTTATTAACTTTTATTTAAAATTCAAAAACTTTTTAACTTTATCCCTATTTAATATATACTATACCTCATCTAAATAAAGTCAATATAATATTAAATGAAGGGTAAAATTGTATATCCATACAAAAAATTTGTCTCAATACCATATAAACAAGATCAAAAGAATCTTCTTTTTCTGCCCTATCAATAAGATCATAGGAGTATATGTTTTATAATTTCATTAATTTTATTGATTTATGATTAATACTAACTATTCATCTTGACAAGGGAAAAAGAGCGGAAATTAATATTTGTACTCTCTATCTTAGGCTTCTTTTTCACTAAATTTAGAAATCACACATCAATTATTTCTTTTTAATTGCATAATATTTTCTTCTTCTTCTTCTTTTTTAAATGTGACAGTTTAAACATATGTGTTAAATTTTGAATGACACACACATATGTATGCACGTCTACTAGCTATTATTTAAATAGACAGATATTAGCAGCTTAAAATAATAAATAAAATCAGACTCATAACTTCTCACTCATATTATACTTGGTAGTATAAATTAGGGTGGGGTGTTTAAATGTCACATTTTTGTTAACCTGATCAAGCATGTGTTAGAGTTGTTATAAGGGAATAAATCGGGGGTATCCAAAAAAAAAGAAGAAGGGAATGAATCGGACGATGACACGTGTTGAAATTCTCCAGCTCATCATTACCAACACTGCTGTACTGTACTGCCACGTAAACACAAAGGGCCAGAACCAGCTCACAAGAGGGGCTGGCTTTCATTTCCCTCCATTTTCATTTTAATTATAAATAAATAAGATTAACCTATTAAATTTTAGTCATGATAATTTTAAAAAATAATATAAAATATTTTATATAATATAAAATCTAATAATTATGATAAAATGAGATGAAAATAGAAGGAAATGAAAGTGGAGAAATCTCTTTCCCAAACCTGACGACCATGGACTCGGATGCAGCGGAACATAACTCAACATCAGCGGGCACGGCGGGCAAGGACCAAGGAGCCCCCACGCCTCGTGCCAGTTGTTTACGCCACGTGGGACCCCCTTACCTGCTCTGTCACGAACAGTACTTAATAATCCACCACGCAATGAGATTCTGATTGATTAAATAATCGTTCTTATATTCAATATTGAATATTTAATTTATCAATAATCAATCATCATTCATTTATAATATATAATCAATAATAAAAAATATTATTCGCAAATTATAGGTAACATGATTAATTCTTTCCATGATACAAGTTATATGAACAGGTGTATGAAAATGAGCGTATCGTTTTTAACCATCAAAGTTTTAAAACATCCAACTCGATAATTTTGTTGTCGTGTTTGTTATTATGATTAAAATTATTTTTAAATATATTTTACGAAAATAAAAAAAAACTCTTTTTACATATTTACCTTATATTTCATAAATTATGATTGAAAAATTATTTATAACCTATTCTAAACGGATTTTTTTTTAAAAAATTGTGTTGCTTGATTAACTCTTCCCACTGCCACATCTAATGAATTTTTTTTAAATGAATTCAAATTACCTCAAATATTTTCTACTGTTTTGTCTTTAGTAAAAGTCATTCCAACTCTTCTAATATCTATATATATGCTCAATACCAATTTTATTTTTTCTTATATAATTATATGGTTATCCCAACATTTTCATCTCATGTTACCTCATTTTATACGCATGTTGTTACTTTAAAGCCTAACATTTCTTACCATATAGTTTCCCAGTGCAATAAAACTTTCATTACAAAAAGTTCTAATAACTTTTCCCCATTTAAAAAACTTGATTTGAATTCCATAATTGATCTTAAGTATCAACACTTTACTACTTGTGGAATGATTTAATCTTCTAATTTAACTTTCATGTCACTTTCAATTTGTCTCTTACCAAGATTGTAATGTATAAATTTTGTCTTGCTTGAATGGAAACCCTGTGACTCAAGTTTCAAGTTAACCCCTTCTTAAAGCATCATGTTAAACAAATAAGAACTAAAAAAAAAAAAGGAAAATAGTAAAAAAACCGCTGAAATAGAAAAATTTCAAATTGGGACCCATAATAATATTAGTATGGATTTTGATAATAATTTTTATGAAAGAGTCCTTTGATGTAATTTTTCTATTTCAGTGATTTGTTTAATGATTTTTTTCAAAAAAAAAATCCTGATTTCCACACAAACACCAATGAAAAAGTTGAGTACTCAAGGGGGCCATAATCCTCGTTAGCAGTCCCCTTTAACTCCGAAGCGAAAGTTGAGGCAAGAAAGGTGCATGTGATTTGAATTATTAATACTATTCTAATTCTTAATATAGGATATAGTTATTGAATTGATTTTAGTTCTAAATATAAAATTTTTTTTCATATTTATTAATTTTTATTAAATTATCTTATGGATACTTCTCCAACCATAATCAAATAGAAGAAGGGGATGAAATATTAAAAAAGATGATTATGGTATTTTAAGGAAAACATGTCATATTCTTTAAAATTTATTAAATTTACCTAACTTTCTTAAACTAATTAAATTAGCTAAATAGATGTTACATTAAGTATTGAATGAGTGTTAAATTAATTTTTTTAAAAAAAAAAAGAGGAAGGAAGCAGAAAGTAGCTGTCAAGGGCCAAGGTGGCCTGTTTGTCAGCAAAGGGGCGTTCAATGATATCCTCAAGCTTCCTTTTCTAATCTCCAAACACGTGACTCTCTTCTATTCCCTTCTCTCTTCATAAACTCCAAATTCCTCACATTCCCTCGCCCTCCATTGTCGGCACGCCATACCCCCCTTTCCATTCTTATCCTTTCCTATTTTCACAACTTTTATACTCATTGCTACCATCCATTAATATTTACAGGCATGATGGGGTCATTGTCTCTATATTGAAATGCCCCTTTTCAGAAAAATTTAAGATTCCCTAAAACAAAACAAGTCATTCATTAATTAAACATAAGTCTGCCAACAAATATTTCCTTAACTAACTCTCATTAATTTTATTCACGCATGTGAAGTAAAATTTTGTATACCCAAAATAAAACTTCTCTTGGAAAATTGAATCTGATCATATTTTTCATATTTATTATTTTCTTAAACTAATTTATCTAAAATGTTATATAAACAAATAATTTAAGAAAATGACATCATATTCATTATAATTGATTAATTTATTTTACCGCTTCATTAATTTATCTAAACTAATTAAGTAGGTTGGGGTATGAATGTATATATAATGACCATACATTCAATTTTTTTGCATTCAAAAATTGAACCTCCATTCTCTTAAATTCAATTTTTTTAATCTATCATAGTATATTACTATCTCCAGTTTTTAATATAAGATTTTATTTTATTTTTATTTTAAATATAAAACCCAAATTCATATTGCCTCTCATATTTATTTATTTATTTCAAAATAATCTTTATAATAATAATAGTTCTAACTAATATACTTGATTAGTAAAGATATTTTAAAAAAATACTTATTTATTATAAATAATTAATTTTATTAATCTATTCAAATTATTTAATCAATTCTTATAAGATAGTAGCATCATTAGTGTGTGTATGTGTGTGTGTATGTGTGTATTTATATACATACATATATATATATATATATATATGCTGACACACATACACACACATGAAAAGAACACGTAAGAGAGAGATGAAAAGGGGTATTTTGCCACTGTTATACTCTGCTTCTTCGGCATTCTCAGAAGAACGGACTCATTTCTGGTAAAATTTAAAGGGACGACCCGGATCCGCCCATGGCGAAGCCGGGAGTGTTGGAAGCTGATCCAACGGTGACGGCGAAGGCAATGGAGCTGAAGAAGGAGTTGCAGAGATTGGTAAAGTCAATTGTTGAAGATGAGAATCATTACGGCATTGAGGCCATCGATACGACCATGGAGACGCTGTCGTTGCTGAGGGAGCTGAAGCTCAGCAAGAGATCGACGACGACGTCGTCGTCGTCGTCTTCGTCACTGTCTTTGACGGTTCGCCATAAAACCGGCTTAAATTGCCCCGAAGAATTCAAATGCCCTCTTTCCAAGCAATTGATGAGAGATCCTGTCATTGTGGCTTCTGGTCAGGTTAGTGCCGGAATTTATAAATGTTGTTTTGGTATGTTAGGTTTCGCAGAAGATGCCGCAAATATCTTGACGGAAAACCACACTCCGGCGTGTTTTTCTCTTTCTTTGAGCCAAATTTTGTTTCAGTGATGCAATTCCGAAATGTGACTTTGATCTGTTTGGTTTCTGAGAAAAATTTGCAGAGAAATGAGAGACAACCCTTTGCCCGGATTTTTTTTTAAAAATTTTTTTGAGTAAAATGTTTTCTTTTCTTTTTGGCCAGATAACAATTTGGCAGTAATTGATAGTTGAAATATATACCTAATTACCCTTCGTTTATTTTTTATCCTTAACGCGTTGGTTGTTCTTTTGTCAAATTATTTATTTAATTAGGTGTGTAACGAATAATGATGAGTTTTGAGAAATTAATTTTCATAAAACGTAGAAGAATTAAGTTGAATTTTTATTTTTGTTCACATGCAATTGCTTTGAGTTGAAGGCCTCAATTAGTCAATTATCAAAATATTTTTAGTTCAGTGTTAATTTTTGAATTAAAACAACGCAACAATATTAAAAGTATTTTAATAATTTATTTCGAGAGTTTATTTAGTCCTTTTTAATTTTTTGACCATCAGATTCAAGTAATTTTTTTTAATATTACTAATTTTATTGTTTCGATGATAATAAAATATAATTTTTGAAAAATGAAATTAAAAATATGCATATATATGTCATTCAGCAAAATGGGATCCCACCATCCCCCCCTTATCCTGGTAATCATATATGGTTGACATCTAACCTATTGAACCGTGACAGAGATAAAGTTTTGGATGAAAATGGTTTGTCGCATTTCTTAGAGTCGGATTAAAGTGAGAATATAGAATATGATTTAATAGCCTCTCTTGTACGTCCATCTTTTTTCCGGGAATTTCTGCACTTTTTTCTCCGTTAAAAAGGCTGAAAAGGGCGGAAAGATAGACAGACGAGAATTAGTCGTCCTTCTTTCATCACCCAGAACCTTACAATTCTGTATTTTCTACTTAGTACATTTATGAAGATCATTTGTGTTATATTCTTTTCTGGGTTACATCAGAGGATTTGAACTCTTGAGATTACTCACATTCCAACCCATTTTTACCACTTATGTTGAGTCCCTAGCGGGTAGATCATTCATATTGCTTTAACTGAGCAAAGAACATCCAATAATAAATAATTTGAAAAGAAGAAAACCAAAAAAAAAGAAAAGAAAGGAAAAGTATGATAATACATCTCAACAACCATAGTGGAGGCAAAGAAACTGCATAGAAAAGAAAGAATGTTATCCTAGTCTTCTTCGTCTATAAAGCGTGATTCTTGATTGAGTGGAGGCCGGTGGTTGATTGTAGCTTTGTGAAAAACTTTTGACTGGATTTCCTCGAAAGAGAATCATTGAATTCTAGTGTTCTGAGCCCTTTCTTTCTGTGAATTACTGCACCCAAATTTCTTTTCATCTTCTTGTCCCAAGCCTTTTTGTTCCGTGATTGACTAGTTTAGATTGATGTTGAATGATGTTTACTAATACTGAACAAGTTTGAGAAAGTTAAGTTTTTCTTTTACCCTAATCATTAACCATTCTTTATTTTCTCTCTTTTGGGCTTAGAGCCTTAGACCCCACACACCAACTTGTTTGCTCCAGGTATACAGACATATGATAGAAGATTCTCCTGAAAAATGGCTGAACTGGACATGTGAAGTTCTTATTATCAACATTGCTTTATTTTCTTACCTCCCTTGATTAGTAGTATATGATGCCGGATTGGTGGTTTTAATTATGCAGACATGTGATAGAACATTTATTCAAAAAATGGATGAAAGTAGGAACTGATATTGAACTTGAGGTCCTTATTGAACATTTTATCCTTTTTGGCTAATTGTATATGTTAACTTGGTTTAATACTGCAGACATATGAGAGAACGTTCATTCAAAAGTGGCTGAAAGCCGGCAACCGGACATGTCCACGGACGCAGCAAGTCCTCTCACACACTGTTCTCACTCCAAATAACCTAATAAGGGAAATGATTGAGAAATGTTGTGGAACCCAAGGGCTTGAATTTTCCAACCATGTTCACTATATCAATGAGGAAGCTGTAATAGAACCAGACCATGGTCATTTTCTTTCTTTGCTTGAGAAGGTGTCTTCATCAGCACTTTCTGAACAGAAAGCTGCAGCAAAGGAGCTCCGGATTCTGACAAAGAAAATGCCTTCTTTCCGGGTATTTTTCGGTGAGTTTTCAGATGCCGTTCCCAAAGTGCTTAAACCGATCTGTGGGAGTCACTCTCTTGGTAATGTTCACCCTGACCTCCAAGAAGATGTTATCACAACACTCCTCAATATCTCCATCCATGACAACAACAAGAAGCTTGTGGCAGAAACTCCCTTGGTAATTCCTCTCCTCATGAGGGCATTGAGATCGGGAACGATAGCAACACGAAGCAATGCCGCCGCCGCCCTTTTCACTTTGTCGGCTCTAGACTCAAACAAGGAACTTATAGGGAAATCTGGAGCCTTGAAGCCTCTGGTTGACCTTTTGGAAGAAGGGCATCCCTTAGCCATGAAAGATGTTGCATCGGCAATTTTTACTTTATGTGTCCTTCAAGAGAACAAGGCAAGAGCAGTGAAGGATGGCACGGTGAAGGTGATTGTAAAGAAAATTGTTGACCGGGTTTATGTCGACGAACTACTAGCCATTCTCGCCTTGCTCTCAAGTCACCAGAAGGCAATTCAGGACATGGGAGAGCTTGGAGCTGTTCCTAGCTTGCTGAGTTTAATCAGAGAGACCACTTGTGAACGAAACAAAGAGAACTGCATTGCAATCCTTCAGACTATCTGTCTTCATGACAGAACCAGGTTGAAGGAGATAAAAGAAGAAGAGAACAGACATAAAACAATCTCAGAGCTTGCACAAAATGGAACTTCAAGAGCTAAGAGGAAGGCTGCTGGAATCCTTGAGAGACTAAACAGGGTTGTTAATATTACACACACTGCATAATTTCCCTTATCAGGATCCTCTTATTAAGGTAAATTAGTCTGTACATTCTTGATTCTTCTAAGGTTTCTGATAGTTTAAATTAGGACAGTATTTTTGCTCTGTGTATATTATCTCGTAGTCAAATAAAAGCATAACGTGTAAAATATAACGTGGAGTAGGTTCTTAAAAGACTTATGTTTATGGTATTAAATTGTAACATATATCTCTTGATCATGATTTTATTGGAGAAGTTGTTGGTAGTCAATGATGTTGCTAGGTTTCCCTATATATGACCGGCTTTTTAATTTCCGTTCTTTCACCAAAACAAAAAGAAAGTCATTCCCGTGACCAACAATTACTGCTGGGGGACGAAGCTAATGCTCTGTCTCTGGATTTTTGGCGATATACTTGGAATTTATTGTTGTGGAGCAATTTTTATTTGTTGAGGCAATTTTCATTAGAAAAATAAGGATAAAATGTTCTCGGGTCATCTTCTCGGAGATAACTGTATGGACCTTCTGTTCATTATGAAAAATGCGATTAAAAGAACCATTTAGATAGCAAACATTTACTATCAAGACTCAAGAAATTAAGCTTATTAGGTAAATTAGGATAAATACCTAAACTAAACTTACGCAACAATTTTTAGTAAATGTACAGAACACAAACGAATGAAATAAAAAATCATTTTAAAAAAATATAAAAATAATAATTATGTGTTTATTTTAAAATGTAAAATTAAAGACACAATATTAAAAATAATTACAGAGATTACGGTAGATAGTACTAGAACAAAGAAAAGCAAATTCTGTATGATGTTACTATGTTACACTCCTATAATTATTAAGAATTTAAAACCATTACATTTTCAAATTTTGTATTATGAGCTGGCAGAAGTGATTATTAGCACGAACCATCAAAATGTTAGTTTAGCAGTGTAAGGCCCTACTAAATCCTTTTATGTCTCAAGTTCGAATCTCAAAAGACAAATCTTTGTGGGGAGGAAAAGCCACTAACTTCAAACTACATTAGCCGGATGATGATATAAGAAAATGATTATTAGCACATACCTATATTTCTTGGCTTCTTGCAATAATCGTTGTCTCAGTTGAATTCACCCAAAATTTGATTGTAATCACGAATATTGTAATAATAAGGATAATAATATATGCATCATTCTTTCAGTAAACATATATATACACACACACATATGTATATGTACATATAAATTAAGGCCAAAAGGGCGGGAAAAAGTAGATAATTGTCATTAGAATTTGTGGAAGCATATATCACCCCAAAAAAGGTTGCAAAAGCATATTAACAGAGAAATATTCTAGGGCACAAGCATCCCACATTACCTGTTAGTTGATGCAGAGTAATTGTCGGGACAATGATTTGATGTTAGTATTAGACAAGGGCATATGTTTATTAGTAGATTTTTCAATAAAGTCAAACATGTTTATTTACAAAAGAAAAGAAAAGAATCAATCATATGGTCTCAAACTGTAAACGGAACATTTAATATCTTCATTAAAGTATTGGATGAGAAGGGTAAAATTTTTTCAATCTTTTGAATTACTATATATTTTTCCGGCCCTAAATATAAAACCCTTTTTGTGATGTAATTACACTACAAAAAGGTCTTATATTTAGGACCGGAAAAGTATATTAGTAAAAACTCCGGCAACAATGCGTTATAAAACCATATTTCTCTAAATCCCCAGTAAACAAACAAATTAGGTGCAAGCTGTCCTGGATAAAGTCCTTTCCGCGTGATTGGATCAACGTTTTTCTAATCACAAAAGTGCAGCATCGAAAAATTACAAACTGTTCAAAATATAAAATAAATTTTGCTGGATGGACTTATTTTTTTAAAGATACATTTTAGTTTTGTCTAAGCATTTAATGAGTTTTTTTTTCAATATTACCTCCTATATATTCTCTCTCCTTTTCGATTCATTAATTACTTTTTTTATTTATTTTCTTCATCACTAAGGATATATTTGAAAAAAACATGTATGCCTTATATGTTTATTATTTTAAGCTGATTTTAATTGATTTCTTGAGTAAATCAGCCAAATTTATCTTATATTTTGAACAGAAAGATACACAACTTGTGAATAGTAGGAGTTGATGCAGATTAAACGTACATTACATCACACATGACAAGTACATCAAACAATGAAGGGTCCAACAAATGGCGTTCTATTTTCGTTCTTCTCAGAAAAGGATTGGTGTTCATCATTAATCAGCAAATTATCGCAAAAGCAACGTCCTTTTCCTTAAGTTTGCGAGCAAATGATGATAATCTTAGACGAGTGCTTCAAGGACATAGAGGTATCGACCCAGGCACCAAGGCAATAGTATCTGATTGCACTTTTTCTTTTATCTTGGTTTAGTTCATAATAATTATGAGGGGAAAAGAAAAAAGAAAAAAAAAGTACATCAAACAATAGATGACTGCAAGTACCCATTCTTCATAGTAGTATGATCAAAAGGACCAAATATGCAAAACCACATTACCTGCTGAAGATGCTGAATAACCGCTGCCCTCTCTATGTATGTCTACTTGGAGTAATCACGGGATCTCCAACAATGCCAAGATTGATTTCACAGCACAAGTGATATTGGACCTTCAAGCACTCAACAGATAATCAAACATCATATTGTCATTTTCTTGAAGATGTTCCTTCAATCCTTAATATAATATCTATTTAACCAATTTGATTAGATTAAGAAAGTTATGCAAATAATTTAGGAAAAATTTATTATAAGAAATATGACATGTTTTTTGAAAACACTATCATAATTTTCCTTAATATCCTCTTTCCTTTTCTACTTGATTATGTTTGATGGAGTATCAATATTAATAATTTAGAAAAAATTGATAAATATGATAATTAAGTTTTACATCTAGAACAAAAATCAACTCAACAGTTAGGTCTTATATTAAGAATTGGAGGAGTATAAAAATTCTTGCTTAGTTTAGCTTTATCAAAATCTCTTTCTAAAGCCTCACGTTGCTGTTACTATGCAACTTCAGTTCATCTTGAGACCCTTCCTTTTTTTTTTTTGGTCCAAATGAGACCCTTCCATTTGAGAATGCTTTTCGCTAAGAGCAAACTTACAAGCTTCTCTGTAATATTAGTACACATTCCATAAAGTAGCTGATATATTGATCGAATATGATATACGCTTTGACATATAGGCCATTGTCCAACAGGTATCAATTTAAAATTTAAACCTTTGGGCTATTAGGCCTAACAATCACCATAAAACATACTTCAAATTTTGTAATTCTCGTGATCTCTTGTCATATGCCTCTTTCCACCCATTGTATTTTGGGACTTGGATTCTCTCCATTATCCTTCTTTTCTCTTCACAACCATTGGATCAAAATTCTAATGGTTTAGATTTAACATCTTATAAAAATAATGTCATTAAAAAAAATAAATAAATTTAAACTGTTAAAATATGGTCTGAAGAGTTTACAATTGTAATAAAAAAAAATTGAAAAAAATTTGCCCTATAATAACAGTCTATAGTTATAAACTGTTCAGATTAGATTTTAACAGTTTAAATTTATTTATTTATTTTTTATCATAATATTTATTTTTATAAAATGTTATAAAATATTAAATTTGGACCATTGGAGTTTTGATCTAATGGTTGTGAAGAGAAAAGGAGGGTAATGGAGAGAAAGAGGATAGGAAGGGTAGTGGAGAGAATCCGATTCCTTCTGTATTTTGCCCTTGCAAGCTGTAATGATCTCAGCTAGCAAGGGATTAATTACAGCTGATCACAGTATTAATGAGAAAAGACCGGAATTATATGGGGACAATGCGGAAAAAGTGACAGCAGCTCAAGATGGACACGTGACACTGGTGGAAAATAACAATATGCATTCCACGCGCAATAACAGAATTAGGAAGCGATCACGGAAATTGGTTGGCTATGATGTTATATAAGTATTTTCTCACTTAGCATTGGGTGTCTTTTAGCTAAATTTGGGTCATTTCTCTCTGTACGCCTTTCTTCCTCTCCTGATTATTCCCTGTTGCTCTTCCTTGTCTGTTAGTTTTTTGTAGCTCTTTTGTGTGCATTTTCCTGCTTATGTTTCTTGAGTTTCGTGATGTTTTGTATTCTGGCTGATATATGACAGCATTAATTCAGTAACACATCAGTGAACTTTCCAGGAATTATCCTATGGATCTTCCATTGATATTATATTACTCTCTCTTATCAATATTCTATTAATATTATACTACTCTGTATCCTTAAGTTTAATAGGATGTTCATTACAAAAGCTTTTTCTAAAAAAGCTCTACCATCTTGCCATTAGGATTGGCGACAGTCTCAAGATTGAAAGCCTGTAAAATACAAGTTTGTAATTAATACGTGAACATTCCCATGCAAAAAAAAAGCATATATTCACATCTTATAAGCCTACCATCATCCAATGCATCAATGGTATAGTTACATTTAAACAGATACTACTTTGCTCCGTGCCTTCTAACATGACAAAAGTAAAGTAAAAGTATGCATATTTTGTAGTTTAATTGTCTCATCTGTACTAATATTATCTAGAACAAATCTAACACAAGTATAAAAAAAAAAAAAGAATTTTAATTCCAATTCTATCCTTACAAACCTTTTCCAATTCTCTGACTTCCTTAGTATATTTTTTTCTCATCAGTAACACAGTCTCCCATATAAAATGAGTCTACAATATAATATAGCCACAAGAAAATTTAGCCCCCATTTATAAATCATTACACCAATCAAGAATGTATTTCTAATGGTCATAACAAAACAAGCAATTATATAAAAACAAATCAAACAGGTAGTACTAGAAGGACAATAAGAATACCTGTAAAAGTTTTAAAATAGTATCCTCGTAATGTTTTTCTTTGATAAATGATTTATCTCTCACGTAACATAGTTCAACCTCTGGAGAACCTCCAAATGTTACTATTTTTTGTTTACTCTTTTCTTTAGAAATTACTGTCATGTCACAAGCTCAATGTTGAACGAGCAACAACATAAATTTTAAAACCATATGCAATTAGATATATTTGCTTCTTTTTTTTGTTTTTTTAATAATTTTGAACATATATCAGTCGGTATTAGAGCACGTATTAATCAGTATCAGAACACGTATCAGTTGATGAATATTCCACTTAAAAATAAAATTTTATGGCTTATAATAAACAAATATATATATATGATTTACCTAATTCATTCTCTTCTATACTTATGATGACAAATCACTCTTGTCCTTATATGATTTTGACTTGTGTTTCACCCGTCCTATAGTAGTAGTAGTAAAAAATTTTAAGTGATAAACCCATTAATGGATGATGCTTTAAGTTAAAAAATGAATAAAATGTTAAAAAAAAAAAAACAAAAACTAATGAATGTTTGATGCTTTATAGTCTATTTTATGCATTTGTATCAAAACAGGATGTACATCCATTCATTATATTTTACATTGATATTAATATTAATTAAGTTACATATAAAAAGGAGGCTAAAAGATATTTAAAAAAAATACAAAAATAATGAGAAACTGCCTAGAAAATAAGATAAATATTTATACATTATTCACTATATATTTGTTATTTTAGAATAATATTTATTGTCACTTTTAATAGTATTAATTTCTTTTCATTATTTGTGAGTAATATCACTAAAATTACTTAAAACACGTTTTTATCATAAATATTAATTTACACTAACTCTAATTGATACAAATGTGCAAATATATTTGTATAGTTTATGGCTTTTGACAAATAGGAACATGCACATATAATTTAAGGGAATTACAATAATTTATTGCCAAATATCAATTTAAACCCTCCCTTCTCTAAGGTATTATAACAGGCTATATTAACTATTAAGCCTACTATAAAAGTAACCTTAGAATAATAATTTGAACAAAATTATACATATATCTCATCTACAATTTTATTGTATTATATTTGACTGCGCATATGAAATACTCTTCCAATCTCTTTATTTTTACTTATTCAGTCTTAAATGTAAGATTCATTTTATAGTGTAAATTTATTGTCTTTAACCGAATTGAGATTTATGATAATGCCAATTGTTGCTTATGAATCAATATTTTAGAGAATCAACAGCAAGATTGAAATCTTTACTGGGAACTCCCTCATGCCATTAAAATAGTGCTTCTTTGGTCCTTAATATAGGATACATTTAACTACTTTGATTAAATTAAAAATATTAGTTAAGTTAGGTAATAATCATAAATATGGCATATGTTTTCTAAAATACCCTTAGTTAAAACTTCTGAAAAAAAGACTGACATTTGAAAAAAAAAAAATTAAGAGTTTGGATAATTCACCTCCTTCGGTCCAACATCATTTGTAAATGCATAAGATAAATGAAGCTCAGGATTGTTGAGGCATTTGTTGATGTTTTTCCATTACTATTTCAGCTTTTGATACCACGATGGAGAGCCACAACAAGCTTCATATGTATATGAAATTTTTTATAGATTCAAAATGATTTTTTTTAACTATCATGAGATGCTAGTTTATAGATTTAAAATGAATGGTAAATGTGTAGAATTAATTTTTTTGGCTCACGATAGAGGGTGTAACTTAATTTAATATTTTATTTTTGTTTCTTTATTTGTTTTCAATTTTCATGTTTATAAGAAAAAAGAATTAATTTTTTTTGTTTTTCTTCAGGGAGGAACTTTTTCTATTTGATTGGATAAAATATAAATAAAAGATTATGTTTTCTAGGAACAAAGAAAATAGATAGTATGATTATTATTATTATGCTACTCCTCAAAGGTAAAAAATCCAATTACCTTGAATGGGTATTTGTATGAAAACATTTTTTTTAAAAAAATGTTTTTTCTTATTTTATTAAAAATATAAAATGGTAGAATTGATGTATGAAATTAATAAGCAATAAGTACTCATTGACTTTATAAAATATATAGGTGTACTATTAATGAATAATAAGTATTATTGTGACATTTAATTATTTAATAGGGGTAATTTAAGAAAGAATAAAAAAAAGGAGAGAAATGAGCCCTATATTTAGAACCAAGATCAACCTTCTAATTAGATCCTATATTAAAAATCATAAGAGTACTACATTATGCCATGAATAAGAACTTGTTGAAGCATATGGCACGAACATCCCACATCAATTACTTGTTAGTTTATGTAATGGTTTAAAAATCAGCAACAATGCACTATAACAGTTAAGAGAAAGGAACGCAAAAACAAACAAAAAAACAAATATGAATACTAAGTTTTCTAGCTTTTTACTCCCTCAGTCCTTCCATAAATCTCCAATCCATTGTCAAGATTTGGCAAAAGCACTATCCAGCCAAAAAAAAAAATCTATAATTAGCTGTTAACTTCAGACTTAATGATCATCTTTCTATACTTTGTACGCCCACCCATGTTTGTCCAAGAATGCTTGAACTGCTTCTTTTATTGCCAAATTTGGCACAAGCTGTGATGGATTAAGTGGCTCCCGCGTAATTGGATCAAAGTTACTCTGAGCACAAAATGGAGAAGTTAAATCTTAGACAGACAAAGCCCATACAAATACAAACTTGTGAGAAATAAAACTTGCTGCAAATTATATCAAACAAGGGATCACTCTAACACAAAACCACGTTACCTTTTGAAGGTGTTGAAGAATTACTGCCCTCTCATATGTATGTCCACTTGGAGTAATTACGGGATCTCGAAGAATATCAAGAGTGATTCTACAGCATAAGTAATCTGGGATCTTAAAAAACAACAGAAGATCATCACACCATATAGTCATTTTCAGGAGAAGAAAACACTTTGATGAAGATAGTAATAGCAGAAATCAGCCCTGTACTTACCTCGGTAGGCATGTCAGCCTCTGCAGCTTCACAAAAAACTCTTTCTAAAGCTTTGAGTTCTTCTGAATGCAAAGCATCAACATCATCTATAAACCCTTCCATTTGGGAGACATGACAAGAATACTTTTCATTTAGAGCACACTCACAAGTTGATCTGTCACATGAGTAAAGGCACATGTTTTATAAAGCAACTAATAACAACTTGACCAGATACATATATCATTGACGTCCAGTAAACAAACACTAAACACGGAATATAATCTTGAAAGATACACCACATAGCACTCTAGTACTTGGATTTATTTCTCTTTGCGAGGTCAGTCAAAGAAAATTTACAACTCACTACACTTCCATTACTTTTACAGCTGATAACAACTTGACAAGAAACTATCATTCGTGAATAATAAATAATTACTAAATGTAGTCTTCAAAGATATTCTGTCCAGTACTTTCAATATGTGCAGGTTGAGTTAAACAAAATTTGCAACTCACCACACTTAGTTCCTTTGTCTAAATTCTATAGGCACATACGATGAGTTACAAACCTTGAGGGACTAGTTTTTAAGAAGGCGAAAAAAATCCGAAGATGAAATAAAAATGAGGCATAATGGCAGATTTTTATAGGATCAAATTGTATATTTTCTTAAAAGTACACTACAATAATCTCAGAAATTAACACAATATATAAAGTATGTAGTGACAATTTTATATATAAACTATTCTTTGGCTGACTTCAATTAAAAAACTTAAGCTATGAGGCCTAATAATCACAATAAAACATACTTCAAACGCTGCAATTCCCATGATCTCTTGGTAGATGCATTTTCCCACTCAAGGTATTTTGCTCTTGCAAGCTCCTGCCAGATCTCCTCTACCATATAGCCGTTAGGATTGGCACCCCTCCCAAGATCCAAAGCCTATAAAAACACAAGTTTGTAATCAATAAATGATATGAGCACCTTCATACAAACGAAAGCAGCATAAGCTGATATCTCAGAAATCAAGCATCCACCTATGTATTAGTGGTAAAGTAATATCTATTTAGATACAACGTCCATGCCTCTTAGCATCCCGGTAGCAAGCCAAAAGCTTACATAATCTGTGGCTTGTCTCATTTATGCTACAATTGTCTAGACCACAAAAACACAAATAGACAAAAGAAAAGGGAATTCAATGAAAATGAAATGCGAAGAAAAGCGAAGAAGTTGCATGTATTCTTTCTCCAGTACTTGCTGCTCCAATTCCAGTGTCAGTGTCTGCAGAGTTATGTGTTGTTCCAGCAGTATATAGGAAGGCTCCTCTTAAAATCCCACACCATAAAATCTCCTTAGCTAACAAACTTTCACAATTTGTAACTATTTTAAACATACTTATATAATCAGGATCTTGTTCACAACTAGATTATCTCCTACCTGAAATTTTTTATCAATAATATATCATCATGTCATTCCTTTTAATAGTAGTTTGACTTCTGCAAATAGTCGTATAAGGAGCACAACGAATCTGAAAAGCAAAATGTTTGAGGAGAAAGGAAGAAAAAAATGATTCAGTGGCTACAAACCTTCTCTAATTCTCTGACCCCTTCGATATATTCTTGTCTCTGCAGCAGCGCAAGCCCCAACATGTAATGGGCCTGCAATATAACCATAAGAAGATTTGGCTGAGCACAAGATGAGTAAAGCTAACTAAACAAAATGAAACAAACAAAAAATATAAAATGTTGTTGTCAAAGATTCTCAGCACTAGTGTGATTGTGCTGCCTGCAAAACACTATGGCCAGTTTACAAGAAACAAGTTAATCAAGCTATAACAAGCAAATGTATGGAATTTAACCTAAATTCATTCTCTCTTTCAGCTTAGTAAGTTCATAATGAACAAAAAATTTTTACAGTAATTTTAAAACAGAATACATAAACGCAACTTGCTTACAGAAATTTTAAAGCAGAGTACATAAATGGAACTTGCTTGACTAAAACCAAATTAAAAAGCGAAATAAACTCAATAAATGCTACAAACAATTAATGCAAAATCTGCCATGAAGACTCTCATAAAACGTCAGCTTTTATAAAATTATATGCCCTTATAACAAAACACTTTACAAGTTTGTAAGGAAATAGTTGATCAAGAAGGTGCTTACAATTGAAGACAAAAACAAGAAATCATATATGATGAGTGAGGAAATCAAACAGGCAATCCTAGAAAATGGGTAACCATGGGTGACACAGGAACTGCAGTGATTCTTAATGACCTTGACTGACTTGTTGTCTAGTTGAATAGCCCTCCGGCTGTCTTCTTCTACCTTAGCCCAGTCACTAAAGAACAACGAAAGAAGAAACGCATCATTCAAAAGAAAAGAAAAATAAAACGAAGAAAGCATCATTCAAAAGAAAGGAAAAATTGACTTCACTACAAGAATAAACAGTGTAAAATGACGCACAGTTGCAAAGACATACTTGCGTCTCCGGTGACAAAGGGCACGATTCGTCCAATAAACCGTATTGTTAGGGCACAGAGTGATTGCCTTGAAAAAACAGAGAGACAAAAAGAAAAGAATGAGATTCATATGAAACAAACATCAATAGGCGCATAAAAACTTGACCTTTACAACGAAAACAAGCCTGAAAAAGAGCCTCGAAAAGATCTTTGGTGAATAGTGAACAATGCAGCAAGAATACCTCGGTGTAGGCATCGATGGCGGCCCCGAAACGATCTTTTTTGAAACAAGAGTTTCCGAGTAGTTTCAGTTGCTCCGCTTGTTTAGCCGCCGCTGACAGAGAACCTCCGTGTGCCACCATTTCTGAACCTCTCTATCTCTTTCAGAAATCACCCTCTCGTGTACATAAATACACAAGCGTCCGTACGGCACTGAAAAGTACAGTAGGCGAAGAGCGAGTGTAACGAGAGGATTTAGCAGAATTTTGAAGCGTTAAAGCAACGCGGGAAGGAGAAGAGCGAGCCCCAAAAGTCAAGCCTGCGAGGGAAACCGACTCCCGCTTAGATTCGAAGGTCCAAGTCCAACTTGCGCAAAAACGACAAGTTAGAATCAAGATTACGGAAATGTCAGGATACAAACCAAAAGTACTTTTATAATTTATAAAATAAATATATAAAAAAATTTATCTCATTTTTAAAAAAAAATATTTTATAAAAACACTTTTAAAAATTGTTAAACACCTCTATAAGCAAGTAATTCTTCTTGCATACTATTTATTTTATATGTCATAATTTATGATTAAAAACTGTTTATAAATTATTTCAGAGTATGTTTTAGCCTTTTTTTCTTTTAAAAAATAGATTCTCCAGGCAATAAGACCAAAGGTTAAAAAGGTTGAAATTTTTTTTAAAACTTTATTGTGCAAAAATACATAAAACTCGCTTCCTTACAAATGCAACTCATTTTTATCTATGTACTCTTTTTTTAGCAAAATCATGTACAATGTATATTTAATTGTATACAACATCTTTTGCTTTACATATGGTTAAAAATAGGTTATAGGATGGCTCCAATTATGTTACACCTAAATATTTAGACAAATTTCATGTATCTTTCAACGATAATTTATTTTTATTTGGGGATGAAGGCTATACACTTAGATAATAGCAAAATATCAATAAATACGACGTCGAACTTTTGAAAGGACATGTAAAATCAAATAAAAAATTATTTATATAAATAGTAAAATTTGTAAAATTGATTCATATAAAAGTAAAACAGCTTATAATCAAAGAATGATAGATTAATTGATATTAGTTTTTGGTAACTAGATAGACTGATTAATTATTTGATTGCGTGCTTGACATTTTCCTTTCTTTTTATGTTAGTTTACTTAAGATGTTACTATTTACCAATATTATTTTAATAAAAATACAGTGAGTTGAATAGCCCATTGGGCATTAGTTTTTGGGCCAGCGCTGTTTGTTGGTCTAATCCACCAACAATATCTTGTATCTTTTGGTTCGATGCAAAATTAATAAAAACAAGTAGAGTTAGATTTAATAAAAGAAACTAGTCTCTCATAATGTGATAAATAATATTTAAATTTTTATTGAAAGATGTCCTCACATCTAGTATCTCGATAATATCTCAAATAGAATTGTCTTCAATAAAAAAATATTTATACCTATAAAAAAAATACAAGCAGAGTTAATTTCAAATATTTACCAACAAGAGTTGGTCCAATAACCAATCAACAAGAAAAACCTGCATTGTAGCACTGGTACTTTATGTGTATAAATTCTGTAATATATCAATACTTTTTATGTATAAAAAATTTATCAAGTCCTTCCCACAAATAAAATCCTTAATGATGGAAAACTTTTGTTTAGTTTTCCCAGACTCAAATGCTGAGAGCATTTCGTTTAGCTTCCCTTAAAATAATACTTCATCCGGTTCTAAATATAACACCCATTTTGTAGTATAAATTACACTACAAAACAGGTCTTATATTTAAAACCGGAAAAATAATATGTCTTTGTGCGATGGATTAAAGCACAAAACATCAAAAATTTGATTCAAGGGATCTTCATCATGGCAAACGGGTGGGTTTTCGTTTATTTTAATGATGGTTTTAATTGTTTTTTGAGATGCTCCTGCATGATAAAATTTTACGGAAACAATCCTAAATTTGGAAAAAGAATGTTGGTTTTACAGCGTTTCCCAACAACTGATTTGGAATCTAAGCATTAAACGGGAACGAGTACAAACACACGGAAGAAGAATCAAGTTTGGAAGCCTTTTGAAGAGATGCTGGATTATTAAAAACAATTACTTAGCGTGACATTTTAACAAGAGAATCTCAAATTTACAAACCAACTTTAGATAATAGAAAGATCCATTGATTTGGTCTCTTTTTCTCCGTAGGAATCTCCAACTTCATTAATTCCCCGCTAAACCATTTTATGATTCTAACAGCATCAAAAAAAAAAAAAGATTCATATTTTAATTGGATGTAGTGGAAGGAACAAATAATACTATCTCTAATTAATTATAAAGTAATTTAATATTTTACAAGATGCGAGCTAAGTAATAGTTTTCTTGATTTAACAGCATCCAGTAATTTAATTTGAAAGTAAATAATATTTTTTTATTTTTGATAAAAACACATTCAAAGTATTTTATAAATAAAACTAGAGCGGTATTAGAAATATATTATAAAAAGGATTATGGAGACTATTTTTTCAGGCAAGCACCCTTAAAGGGCATCTGGTATCGCACGTCTCTTAATGATGCTTGAAGCCTTTGACTATAAACATGGTAATACCTTAATCATTACCATAAGAACTAAATAACTAATTAAAATAAATAAATAAATATGGAAAACAATGTGAATTCAGATCTTATTGTCTGAAAATCAAATTAAATTTTCAACTAACCGTTGTATTAACTCCTATCCTAATCATGAGATCTCGTTTGTAGACATAGATTACAAATTATAATGTTGATCAATGTTTATTACTCCCTTTGTTCCTTATTATAAGAGACAATAACCAATTAAGTTGATAAAATAGTTAAAATTAGTTAAGGACAATTAATATGTAAAAAATATAATGCTTTTTTCCAACAATGCCTCTATTAATAAAGAGAGAGACTATGAGAGAGAACAATTAAATTATTAAAAGAAGAGAAGTGGGAGGGAGAGAGAGTATGAGTTGGAGACAATAAATAGGAGTAAAATAGGAAATCAATACAAAAAATAGAGATAACTTTTAAATGTCTCTTATATGAGAACATACCATAAGCATCAAATGTCTCTTATAATAAAAAACGGAGGGAGTACTGTCTTTGGTTTTAAATACTATCTCCGGTCTATAAACAAAATCTTATAAATAGAATCAGAAGTAGTATTTAAGACCAAAGGCAGTAAGAAAAATTGGCCAACGTTATAATTTGTAATCTGTGAGCAATTTATAAACAAATGGTAACTTCGAGTTTTGAGCTACTAATAAACTAGTAGATAGTGCATGCGAACATTTGTCAATGACTTTAATTTCAAGTCTCTCCCACGCCATAATTTTTAATTATTAATTAGATTAGATTGCTAAAGAGATTGATTTGCATGTGATGTTTCTAAGGACCGTGGTTGAAGTTCACCTTAATTATAATTTAATAATAATCCATAACTCAACATTCTTTTCAAAACTAATCGTATCTGCACCTAAGTTTTGTCACCTGATTTCAAATTACAAGTTGGAGTTAATTAATTGAGCTGGCCAATTGGGAAATATTTGAAAGTATACTTAACTACGTTGCACACTAATTTTCTGGATTTTTTTTTATTGCCTTCAAATTTTTCTGGTAGAGCTATTTTTTAGGGATTTTTTTTTGGTGGAGCCTGAGATAATTAAGAAAAAAAGAATGATGTTCGTGAACATAAATAGCATATTGAATCCATCTTTTCTAACTTCAAACACATTTGTTTTTTTTTTAAAACAAAACAACCTTTTTGTGCTTTTTCGCCGAACAAGAGTGAGCTTATTTAAAGTTTAAACAACCCTTATTTGGACCCAAAAAAAAAAGTTTAAACAACCCTCAAAGCGCCCCAACCTTTTACTATTAGCAACTAGCCGCTTGACCTGAATCAGTCTATTTGACCTTAAAATGATTAATATTTTGGTGCTCTGCATAAAACCATATTCACTGTTTTTGTTCATGATTATGCTTTGATTGATATAAGAGAAGATGGAAAATCCACTATATAGGGATTTTTTTTTTATAGTTTATGAATGTTTTACCTTTGGAATTCTTAATATAAAATCTATTTAACTAATTTAATTAGATTAAAAAGTTATGTCAGTTAATGAATTAGGAAAAATATGACTTTTTTTAAAATATTATAATTATCTTCTTGAATGTTCTTTTATCTCCTATTTGATTATAGTCGAGAAAGTATTTGTAAAGTTATTTAAAAAAATTAATAAATATGATAAATAAATTTTATATTTACGATCAAAATTAATTTAAACAAATATGTTATGTATTAGGGCCAGAAGAGTATTAAATTTTGTGGAGAGTCTTTTTTTTTAAAATCAATACATAAGAATGTATAAATAGGATCCAATAGACACTTTAGAATTATCACCAACTTTAGCTTTTACCTTATTTTTGATATTCACTGTCGTGTCAACGTAAGAATAGTTCTCTTGATGTGATCTTTTCCATTCATAATATTCAAATGGTCAATTTTACTAAAGTAATGTCTATTGTCTGCCACTAACTTAAATGAGACTAACGCATGGTATACTTCATACCTCTAACAATAAATTAAAATATCTTCTTCAGCGTAAAAAAAAAAAAAAAAGGTCCTTGCCCACATTAAAAAGTAAAAACCAGTTTCCCACAACTTGACGAATATATGTTCAAATTTTAATCAGGAAATGTGTTCATATTAAACAGCTAAACAGTGAACACAAGGACACTGCACGGCTGTACCTTAAAAAAAAAAAAAAAAGCAAATTGAAGAAAATGCTTTAAGAAAATCAATGCACAGTATGCTAGATATGTCTACTTTTTTCCATAGGAAGTGTGAATACTTATTTAATTGCTTCTAAGCAGTCACGTTCTTTTAAAAATTAAAATAAGATTTGGGCACATTCCCTCCTCTCCACGGTTTCTAGAATCGTGTGCTCTGTTCTTTTTGTTTTTGACCGCGTTCCCAAACCGGCTTTATGTCACGCGCTAAGCATGGCCCCTCCACGTCACTCCACCGCACACGTGTCACTACACTATAGGTGATCTCACCGTCCCGTGGAAGCCACACCCCATATTACCATGCCCCACTTTCCTCCTGGCTTCCTTCTCCTGCAAGAATGGGAAATCCGCCCTCTTGGCCCTATAAAGCCTCTCTTACCATCGCCATCATAAAGAGCCGTAACCTTGCGCCGG